TCAGACGGCATGCCGAAGCACGGGTTCTCTGGCAGCTCAGGGTGTTTCGGCTGCTCCGTCAAAGAAGGCTTGCATTCTGTTGTTCTTGGAAACAGTATAAAGAAAAGGTCAGCAGATTTTTGTTTCTTCTTACTCCTGCGGCCAGCCTATATTTTTGTTGGAATTCTTTCTCCCTTCTTTCCTCCCGTCCCTTCCTCCATTCCTTCTTTCTTCCCTCCCTCCCTTCTTCCTTACTTTCCTTCCTCCCTTCCTCCCTCTCTCCCTTCCTTCCATCCTTTCCTCCATCCTCCCTTCCTTCTTTTCTCCCTCCCTCTCTCCCTCTCTGCCTTCCTTCCTTCCTCCCTCCCTTCCTCCCTGCCTGCCTGCCTGCCCGCCCGCCAGGAAATCTTTATGCTAGCAAACCAAAGAATGACTTAATCATGACATATGCAGCTTCACAGTCAGACATGACATACCATAAATGGAGCTTCACAGGCTAAAACTACCCTTCTGCCTTCCCCATCACTCTAGTAATAAGATTCTGTGTCCATTGCTGAACAGCCTAGCATGTGGACAAGAGCACAGGCTCTGGTACCAGGATGCCTGGGTTTAAATCCTGGCTCTTCCATTTATGAGCAGTGTGGCTTTGAACATTTTACCTTGCTTCGCTATGCTCCAGTTTCCTTAGGTTTAAAATGAGAGTAGCATTGGTATTTTTAGATAGTGTTAATAATACTAATAGGGTTGTCATGAAGAGTAAATGGTTAATTCATACAAAATTCTTATAATCATTGCTCAATGATAGGTTTGGCAAGTGTTGATTGAATGAATTATTTTATGCAATTCAATACAAAGGGAGAATATGTATGAATCACTGCATTATGACAAACAAGGCATCACTTTGGAGATTTATTTCGAGTCTTTAGGTCCCCTGACTAATCTAAACCAGAGTTTCATGCTGGGGGAAAAAAACAAAAAACTTTTGTGATTTAAAAAAAAAAAATCCCTTTTTAAAAACTGTTTTCAAGGGTATCTGGGTGGCTTAGTGGTAAACGTCCTACTTCAGCTAGTTTCATGATCTCACGACTGGTAGGTTCGAACCCCACATCAGGCTCTGTGCTGTGACAGCTCAGAGCCTGGAGCCTGTTTCTAATTTCATGTCTCCCTCTCTCTGCCCCTCTTGTGCTCATTCTCTCTCTCTCTGTCTCTCAAAAATAAATAAACATTAGGGAAAAAATGTAAAAAGTAAAACAGTTTTTAGGAAAAGATGTTGGCAATTTACTTTTATCCTTTTTTGACATGTGTATATGTTTGTGTGAAATATAACATTCAGACAAAATTATATAAGATATATCTACAGTACAAAGAATAACAATTAAAAGAATAAAAAAAAAAACTTAAAGAATACCTGTGTACTTGCCACTCAGTGTAATAGAACGTTACCAATATCTTTAGCGTGGCCTACGTGTCCTACCCCAGTGACCCTCTCTCCTATAGAAATAACCATATCCTAAATTTCATGTTAATCGTCTTGCTTTCCCTTTTGGTTTTACCACATATGGATGTAATATTCGACATCAAATTGTTTAGGTTCGCCTGTTTTTAAAAAAAACAATACCACGATTAACATTGAATTTGATTATCAGTGTTTTAGATTCATTTCCAGTATCTTCTTTTATTCTTTATTTGTCCTACTTTGCTATGTTTCACCGTATCCACTCCCCACCCCCTTTTTTTTATTGAGATCTTTTTTTTTTTTTTCCTTTCCTTTGGTTCCATTCTTCGCCTTCCATTGGTTTGGAAGTTATATACTCTATTAAATTTTGACATGCATATTTAACAAAGTATAAAGTTAATATTTTTCCCTCTTTCCCATTAACACAAGGACCTTGGAACCCTCCTACCGGGATTTCTTTGGAATCATGCAATTTCACACAGAAAGGAGTCTTCACCTCAAAATTGGCAGCTACAGCTTTTGATGTCTGGTGTTTTTAGTTCTTGTCTCTTGACAACATAGTAATGCTCTCTTGGGAATAGCAGAGAACAAAAAATGTTACCATTATGGGAAATAGAGACCGTTGGAGCTGGATGGGGCCTTAAAGATTATCTACACTAACATTTTTCAAACTTTCTGACAAAGCCCAACAGTCAGAAATAATATAGTTTACTTCATAAGCAACACACACAGAAAACATAGTATGTAAAACTGAAACATTGCCTGAAACAGAACTTCCCTTGGTCTGTACATACACTCTGAGCTGTTCCATTCCATTCTTTCATTTAAAAATCCCCAAACTTGTCCAAATCCATTAAATTGATTGCATGCCCACGAAGATGTCCTGGCCCTAAATTTGAAAAACCCAAAACTTGCCTATAGTCCTCAATTTATGGCTTAGGAAACTGAACCCCAGCCAGATGACATGGGTCTCCCAGAGTCGTACAGTAAGTGAATGTTAGGAGCCAGTCTCTGATCTCTTATCTCCAAGGTCTTTATTCACATATGTCAGCCAGACCAAAAATGATACAGGAGGGAATGAAAAGGGAAGCCTTGGTGAGCTGGAATTAGGAAATGGGGAATTAAACCCTCCTGATAACTCCTAAACATCTAATTTGGCAGATGTCTTTGACAAAGCATCCGATGATAATCACTACTTGGCGAACCCAACTCCATGTTGGGAACCACTTTCCATTACTTCTGACCCCTCACAACCACCCACACAGTCAGGAGTGTTATCCTTCTTTTGTACACGAGGGAATGGCCCAGAGAAGCACAGTGATTTGCCTCATTCATGGAGTTCATAAAGTGAGGAGCTGGGCACACCTTTCTGACCCCAAAGTTCATGGCATTTCACAGCCTCACCTGGCCTTTTTACAACTCTTGACTTGCCTATTGTATCTCTCAGAATGAAGATAAAGTGACAAGAGGGATACAGTCTAGAACTAATTCTAACCAGTAGGAATAACTAGTTGGTGATATGATTACAGACTTGCTTGTTTATTCTGTCTCCTCAGTAGCACTTTAGCTCCCGGATGCATAGTCCTTGCCTCATTCAGTGCCTAGTACAGTTCCTGGCACATTGTTAGCTCACAGTGAATGTTTACCGAATGGATAAGCAAGAACATTTAGAAATGATAAGGACTTCAGGGAAAAGAAACCATATGGAGAATAACTGCCAAGGTTCAAAATTAGATGTTTGATGGTGACCTACTTACTTATAAGCTGTCTGATGGTGAGCTGGTTACTTCTCTTGTGCCTCAGTTTCCTGGGGATGATAATAGTGTCTACCTCACAGTGTGGTTCTGTGAATTAATAGAGGAAAAGCATTTACACCAGCGCCTCACTCATAGTAAGCATTGTATAAATGTGAGCTGTCACTGTTATCTGAGGTTATGGCAACTAAGGGAATTTTGAGCCTATGTCTCATATTTTAGGAAAAACATGTCAGAAAGCTTAGTGGTAAGCTAAGTATGATCAGATATGGCGACTCAGAAGAGATTACCCTTCGTGTGCACTTGGTGCTAAAATTGTGCTAAATAAATTGGCTACAAGCACATTTCTATGTCATCCTGAAACAGATTTCTTTCTGACAACAACAAGAACAAAAACCTAATCCAGAGCAGAGTATTAAGTAGATGGCCTATGAATATATCAAAAAGCAGACAGTGCTTTCTGTCAACATAGTTTTATAAAGAATACAATTTGTGGGGCGCCTGGGTGGCGCAGTCGGTTAAGCGTCCGACTTCAGCCAGGTCACGATCTCGCGGTCCGTGAGTTCGAGCCCCGCGTCAGGCTCTGGGCTGATGGCTCAGAGCCTGGAGCCTGTTTCCGATTCTGTGTCTCCCTCTCTCTCTGCCCCTCCCCCGTTCATGCTCTGTCTCTCTCTATCCCAAAAATAAATAAACGTTGAAAAAAAGAAAAAAAAATATAATTTATAAAAAAAAGAATACAATTTGTGAACAGGTGACTTAAGAGACCAGGAGAATGCCACAGATACAGTGTGTCTTATTGTCAGGAGAACATTCAGAACGTCTGATTAAATTCCTAATGTTTATTTATTTTTGAGAGAGCACGTGAGTGGGGGAGAAGCAGATTGAGGGGTAGACACAGAATCCGAAGCAGGCTCCAGGCTCTGAGCTGTCAGCATAGAGCCCGACGCAGGGCTCGAACTCACGAACCATGAAATCATGACCTGAGCTGAAGTCGGATAGTTCTCCTACTGAGCCACCCAGGCGCCCCAGAACATCTGATCTAGCGAACAGCAGAGGTGTGAGGCCTCCCCACACAGACTCCTGGAATTTGGCTTCGTTTTCTCCTCTGCAAAGCGTGTGTCATGACTCAGCAGCCTTCTAGTGTGGTTCAGAGAACTGACGGAGAGAAGGTATGAGTGGTGCTTAGCAGGAGGGAGGTAAATGTGAGCCCCTAATTAGGAGCCCCGGGTAAGCCGATAAGGAGTTGAAAGAGAACATGGTTAATAGGCAAGGACGTGCCCAGCTGTTTGCCTCTAACGAGCCCAGGTCTCAAGTGCTCAGAGGAAGGGTGGAAGTTTGCTTTGCAGTTGTCAAAACAAATCCTTAAGGTCCCTTGATGCCGCTGACTGAAGGCCGGGTGAGAAGAAATCTAAATAAGCAGCCCGGCTTCCTTTTCTGTCACTGCAGGGGCCTTCGTCGTGTGCTGGACCCCGGGCCTGGTAGTTCTGCTGCTGGATGGCCTGAACTGCACGCAGTGTGGCGTGCAGCACGTGAAAAGGTGGTTCCTGCTGCTGGCGCTGCTCAACTCGGTCATGAACCCCATCATCTACTCCTACAAAGACGAGGACATGTACAGCACCATGAAGAAGATGATCTGCTGCTTCTCGCAGGAGAGGAACCCGGAGAGACGCCCCTCCCGCATCCCCTCCACCATCCTCAGCAGGAGCGACACGAGCAGCCAGTACAAGGAAGACAGTATCAGTCAAGGCACGGTCTGCAACAAGAGCAGTTCCTAAGCTGTGGGTGTCCCTGTGCCCACCCAGGCCTCCTCTGGGAGAGGAGCTGTTAAGAATGGCTGCCTGCCTCTGACAACACCCACCTACAGTGTTATTTGAGGTCTAAATTAATCACTGGCAGATTTTTTAAAAATCACTTTACATAGTTTAAAAGCATGAGCAGTAAAGAGGGGACACAGCGCGTTTAGAGAAAATGCACAAAAGAGGGAAGACAGCACAGCAGATTCCTGAGTGATGTCCTGTGAACCACTCAGAGGACCATTCTGGGCCCTGCCGCCATCTTGTAGCCATTCTCTTTGTGCTTTAAAAGGATGTTGTTAAAGGGCTTAGACCAAGATAAATAACGATGTTACTTGAGCCACTTGCTATAGCTGCTTGGAAAGCCTATGTAGTTCTTTCTGCATGCATTTAAAATTTTTTAAATGCTTCAGCTATATTTGTTTCCTCAAAGAAACCGTGGCCAGTAGCTAGGTGTTCAATAGGAATCTCAGAAAAACAAATCAGTAAGGGCTCCAGATTAGACTTGATTTTTAAATGAAAGAACATTCTGAGGAAGAAGATTTACTTAGAAACAGAAAAAAAAAAGGTAAATGTTAGAAACTTCTCTTAGAGCAGAAAAAAAGGCCTTGATGTGATCGCCGAAGTGTGCATGGGTGTGTATACACATCTGTGTGTTTATACATTTCTAATTTGTAGTCAAAGACCTCAAGGACAGTGGTAGTGAAATAAATTCACTGGCCATCTAGACTTTTCAGTCTAGAACTATAGCTGTAGAAATGACCTGTTGTGCTCTAAAAGAAAAGAAAAAGAGGTGATTCATTTGCAAACAGACATACAGCAAAGTAAAAGGTATGTTGATAAGTGGGCCTGAATTCCTTTCATATAGGACCATATATGAGCTTGACTTGAGTCCTTATTTTCAGTTAACTCCACACCACTGGTGGCTTGTCAGATTTTAGTATATGGAATAATTTTCACATTTCATATTTTGCTTACAGTTATTGACATGTTTCTGGTACTTGTCTTACATATGGACTGAATTTTGATCTGAGTTCTCTTTTAAAATTTTCGCCTTCAAATACGTAAGCAACATGAAAGGCAAGTCAGTAAGAAAAATAAAAAGCTTCAGACACACAGGCTACTGACCAAAGTTTTTTATATAAAGCATTTAGAATATATTCTGATTTTAAAATAAGAATAACTTCAAGGCAGATATTATAATATTTATGTAGTTTGCAAAAGAAGTTTACATTTTTTTTTTGCTATTGTGATGTAACATTTATGTGCAAGAACTACTTGTAATAAAAGAATTTGAAAAGTCATGCTTTTAGATATAATGGCCTAAAATAGAGAATATTATGATTTGAAGGTGTAGATGTCACAAACTCCATGTAGTAAGTGGAGTATATCTGAAGCTTATATCAAGAACACCTATAAAATTAAATAAAGAATTTGTTCTCTCTTGTTGAGGTGCATTATTGCTTTGTGTATTTTCTAAGTAAAAATAGAGTCTGTGGTAACTATAACACACATTTCTATTGCAGAAGAAAAATCAAATTTGCCATGAAGTACATACTCTCAATGTTTTATGTAAGCATCTCGAATCTACAGCTGGCCAAAGGGTGGAGGATTGAAATTGAATCCCAGTCCCTGAATAGCTACTAAGGGATCTTTAAAGGTTTTATTTTGAGGAAAGCACTGTTTTTAGTACCCTGCAGCAGAATGTAGTGTTCAGAATAGTGTCTGGAGGGGATCCAAGTGTGGGAAATTCATGATGGAAATATACAGCTTTTGTTTTTATGTGCACACTCATATCTCAGTGATGGCTCAAGAGTAGAGAGGTCATGTATATTTGGAATTGACAAGTGGCAAGGGTCACAGGGCTCCCCTAGAGCATGGCAAGTGCATCTGTTAGTTGGAGAAAAAAACGAAGAACGAACGCTTTTCCCCTCAAAGCCTAGGACCCCAAGCTTACCTGCAAGTCATTGAGATGATGGTTCTAAAAGTTCGACCTAGACCTTTTCAGACCAACCCTTGAGTCAAAGCTTGGGTTCCTCCCTAGCCAAACAGGATTCAATTTCCTTAGATTTGTAGCACTGCCCAAGGTGTTCACATATCTCTGTGTTGGTGAGAGGATTTGGTTCTTTGTGAAGCCTGCCTGCTTGGAAAGAGAGAATTTTTGGGAATAAATTGGTGAAATATTTTTTTAAGTGAGTGGTAGACTTGGGGCCATAATGTGATCTTTAGACGCCCTAAGCACTGAGATGATTATGGTCTCCATTTGTGTAATTCCAAATACAAACAATACTGAACCACAGAATAAATGTAAACCTCTAACAGAGCTCTAATTGCCCTCACAATCAGCCCTTTGATGCTTTTAATAAACACTAACAATCAAAATTTAGAAATTCCGCTGCCCCTGTTTTACCAGGCATACTGATCATGTGCACGGCCCATGATCGGATGACTCAGGATCCAGGATGAGGTGAAGTCAGTTGTATCAGCATCAGGTAGTGGGGGGTAGGGGAGACATGGAGGCAGGTGGTACAGCTGTGTTCTTCTGATGCCACCCCACACGCTGTAGGGCATGTCATGCCCCAAGTCTGTAGACTAATTTCACAGGGTTGAAAGTATTTTGTGCTTATTAGCCCATTAATTCTTTAATCATTCAGGGTGAGGGAGAAGAATGCTTGGCCCTCTTTTAATTGATTGAATAACCATAATGATGTTAAGCCTGTGAAGACACCGTGAACGTGACTTAACGAAAATCTCAAGCCCTATTAGAACCTGGAATAAAAATAACCAAGGTGTTATTCTACATGATGATCCATCTCACGGTGAACTAAAAAGAATTTAAAACTCGAAAACACAGATCTGACTTCTGGGATGCTTTTCAAAGAATTATATCCCGTTGGTGGACCACTAAATGTGATATTAAATTGGAAACCCCTAGGGCTCCTTCCAATTTTACACACCATCTTTCAGGCATAGGCATAGGGGTTAAAATCACTTGACCTGAAAATTTTTTTAAGGAAAATTTTATTTCGTGTGAGTGATGCTTTCCTGAACACATCACTTAATGTAAAACACTCATAATTTAAGACCAGTTTTCACAGAATAGTGTTAGAATGGGAGATGCTGTTGCTGTGGGGGTTGGGTTTTTGGGGGCCCTAATGCTGTATTTTATTTTTACAGCATCCTCACCAGTGCTTTTTAGAGTGTGCTTGCTCCTAAATTAACAGATGGCAAACTATTAATGGCAATGATTACGAGTTCAGAGTGTTTTATCATAGATTACTTCTGAGCTAAAGGTTTAATAGTGCAAGCAATTGCATAATGGTCACCAAAATCACACGTGGAGGTTCCAGGGGACATCGGTAAGAGTGTGGGTCACTGTATACAATGCAGTGCCTTTGCATGCCAATCCATGAGCACAGTTTGCGATTCACTGGGGTCAGCCAGTCTTGGGATATGCAGTTCTTGCCAGCTTTTTAGAGAGTTGCAATTTTGTACAGCAAAACTTTATAAAAATTTTCTATATCAGCAACTTCAAGTTTGCACAATTCAAATTTGCATAAACCATCTGTGTTGTATTTGTTACTGAGATTAGAGCCTGTACATTCTATATTAGTGTACGGTTATATTGAAAAAAGTAGGGAAAACTGCTATCCCTTCCTCATGATACTCAACCTGCATCTGTTAGAAAAGCATCTGATACCCTAATTTTGTTAGAACTTTACTACTATCAGGAAACTCTACTAATGTATATGCATGTCCACAGTATGGTTGGCACAGAGTTCTTCAGTTCACCACCCGTGCAAATGTACATGACAGCCATCTTAAAGAAAGCGCTAGATTGAAATTCAGGATACCTGGGTTCTAATTTCTGCTCTACCCTAAATGGTCAATGAAACTCTACATAGGATTGCCAATTTACCAAACGAGGGGTTTAAATGATCCATAGGGACATTTTTAGCTCCAAAATTCTATTATTCTATACATCACCTCCCAGATATGAATCATGGAAAGAACCCTAAGTCTTTGGATTCTTTGAATTTCACTCCTGGTGTGGGTATTTCAAAGAGAAGGAACTGTGCTTTCATTTATTACAATGGTTCTCAAGCTTTAGTGTACGTAAGAGTCACCTAGGGAGACCATCTAAAATCTATGAGATTAAGGTAGGTGTGAAATGTGTAATTGTAAATCTATTAATACGGGGGGAAAGGATTTCTGGAATAAAACTGCTCACCAAAATGGAGAACCTTAGAGACCTGATGGCCTGCTCATGTGTGCTAAAGTGAAACTTAAATGTGAAATGTATGAGCTGGTGTTTACTCCAAGGCAAATAGAAACCCACACATTTATTTTTGCACTTAACCAACATCTTTGAACATTCCCTAGATGCTAGGGAACAAAAAGTCCTACCCTTAAAAGAATTAACAAAATCAGGGGTGCCTGAGTGGCTCAGTCGGTTAAGTGTCCGACTATTTTTTTTCTTTGATAAACGTATTTATGGTGAAATGATTACTACAATAAGGTGAGTTAACACGTCTATCACCTCACAGTTACTTTTTTTGTAAATGTGGTGAGACTATTGAAGATCAACTTTCAGCAACTTTCAAATATACAATATAGTGCTTTTTGCATGTTTATTTGTTTTGAGAGAGAGCGTGCAAGTGGGTGAGGTGCAGAGAGAGAGAGAGAGAGAGAGCGAGAGAGAGAGAGGGAATCCAAGCAGGCTCCATGCTGTCAGTGCAGAGCCCGACACAGGGCTTGATCTCACAATCAAGTGAGATCATAATCTGAGCCAAAGTCAAGAGTCAGATGCTTAACTGAGCCACCCGGGTGCCCCAACAATATAGTATTGTTAACTATAGTCACCGTTCCTATTGTATGCTAGATCCCTAGAACTTACTCATCTGACATGTGTAACTTTAGACCAATATCTCTTCATTTCCCCCACCTCCTGCCCCAGGGAGCCACTATTCTACTCTCTGTTT